GACCGCAGAACCTGAGGGGACCCTCGGGGTGCGGCGTGTGCCCATCTGTGTCATGTCTCTGGTAGACTGGCTACGGCTGGAACTGTCTACCCCGGGGAGTTTGCAGGCAGGGTCTCGAGCCCTCCCATGCACCCTCCTGCCCGAACTCCACGCTAACTCACACGCCACCAGACAAGCGCTCCTGTTCGTGCGGCTCCGGTCACGTGGCTCAGCAAAGTAGGGGCCTGGGCAGGGGCTTGACCCGGCTCGGCTCCACGCAGCCGCTTCCTCCCACTCAGAGAGGGGTTAACCCCTTCCTCCCACCACGAGCCCCGCTTGCCTCCGGCTGTGCTGGGGGTCGGTGGGGGGCTCCTCAGCTGCTGGGGGGTATCTGGGGTGTCTGGGAGGCTTCAGGGGAGCAGGGGCTAGTTTTAATCATTTAGCTGAGTTAGGATGATCCTGTTTGTTTGATCATTTAAGTGAATGTGATTTTCAATTCCTGTAATTTATATTAATTTAATGAACTCTAGTTTCATAATCCAGACTTTTTAGAATGCAGCTATGTAGTAGCAATAAATGTCTACAAGATCAGTCTAAACAAACACATTTTAGAAACTGTCATGTTTTGAGGAATGGCTATTGTGTGCCATTGAACAGTGACAATTTTTTTTAACATAATTGACATGTAGTTTACACTACTTCAGAAAGGTAGGGTGTATAACTTTAATTTCCTGTGGACTGTTGCTTGATACTGGGAGAATATCCCTTCAGTCATACCTTCAAGGGGCCAACTTTTCTGGCTGGTATGAGGCTCACCAGTTGATCGATTCTGGCTTGTGGCTGCCCGCACAGCATTCTGCATGGGGCTGATCCCTGCCTGGGGCAGCCTGCATTATGCTGCCACCAACAGCCCCAGCCAGTGCACACAGCTTCCTGACGTGGCTGCTACCACTGCCGCTGCTGCAGCTGCTCAGGTACTTCTCAGTTTGCCCCTCTCCAGCAGCTCCTCTTCCTGCTCCTGCCCCTGCTGCTCCACTCCAGGCAGCTTTTTAGCATAGGGAAGCAACAGCAGTTGCGGTGGCGCATACTGGGCAGCACATGCCCCGCCCAGCAAGAAGGAAGCTGCAGCAAGGTGGCTTCTGCCCCAGTATGCAAGGCTGTTGTTCTAGCTCCCGGCCACTTTCCACCCACTCTGCCTGCTCAGCATAATGAGTAGTAGGCCCTTGGGGGTG